TACTTCCGTAGTGATACTGCCTCGGAAACCCAAGGAGGGGTCGCTATGAGTCGGGGCCGACTCGACGGCACATAACAACAACAACAGGGTTTTATTATTGTAATTTCTGTCAAGTTTTACTCCTGTTAAAAGTTGAAATGGCAATAAATAAATAAATACAATGAAAACAATTTTATAAAACTCTAGCTAGGTACTTCCAAAACCAAACCAAATACACTGTTGTCAAATTGCCTCTGACTCACAGTGACCCTCTAGGACAGAGTAGAACTGTCCCATAGGGCTTCCAAGGCTATAAATCTTTAGGGAAGCAGACTGTCACATCTTTCTCCTGTGGAACAGGTTGGTGGGTTCAAACACCGACCTTTTGGTTAGGGGCTGAGTGCTTAAGCACTGCCCAACCAGGGCTCCTTAGCTAGATACTAGTGCCTATCAGTGACTGAGCTCGAGGTCCCCTCTCTGCTATAAAGATTATGAAGCGTTAGAATGGTATTCAATACAAACCAGCACAACACTGAGTATTTCTTCATGACATAATTAGGTTAAATGAGAATTTAAAAGGGAAGAAATTTCTCACTATGTAATTTAATGTTATTTAACCTTTTCAAGACCAAATTATTTTCTGCTTTGAACTTTTGTTGATACACGTGTTTTCAGTAATGAAAGGCATGCTGAAATCAAAGGGAAAATTTTTTTTGAGGTAATATGGATTTTCATATAATTATGTGGGACACATATGTTCCAATCAGATTCTGGTCATGGGATCAGTAGAGTGAGGTCCATTTCTTCAGATTCATGCCGTTTTTCAGGCACCTGCTTCCAGGTAGTAGCATGTACTACAACTGGGGTAGGAGCTTCCCAAGAAATTGGAGAGGCTGAAAATGTTGGTGGGCAACATATGCCCCCATGGGTCACAAAAGGGTGAAGGCAAACCAGAGGATATCCCACACTTTGTGAAACACTGAGATAAGATATGTAAAGCGCCTGGCCTGGAGTAGGTAATCAGTAAATGTTAGTTTCCTTCCTGTACAGTGTTTCAACAAATCCAATGAGTAAATGAAAAGCAGAGCTAGCAAAGAATACCTAAATGAATGGTTTATGAATCTGAGGATTTGAAATAGTTAAAACGTCAATTCTCCCCAAATTAATCTACAGTCAGTACAATTCCAATCAAAATCCTACCAGGCTTTTCATCTGTAGAAATCAACAAGCTGATTCCAAAGTTTATATGGAAAACCAAAGGACCTAAAATAGCTGAAACAATTTTACAAAAGAGGGGGAAAAAAGCTGGAGTTTCAGCAATCAAGCTAGTGTGACATACTGGTATGTTACTGTTGTTGCTAGTTGTCATCCAGTCAGTCCCTGACTCATGACAACCCCATGAAAATGGAACAAAACATTGCCTGGTCCAACTGCAGATCAAATGGTTGTGATCCGTCGGGTTTTCCATTGGCTGATTTTTGGAAGTAAATAACCAACCCTTTCTTTCAAGCCTGTCTTTCTTTGTCTGGAAGCTCTGCCAAAACCTGCTCAGCATCATAGCAACACTCAAGCTCTCAGTGACAGATGGGTGGGGGCTGGGCTTGAGGTATATTGGCTGGGAATCAAACCAGGTCTACCCTCATATATTGGTATAAGGATAGATATATAAGTGAACGTAACAGAATAGAGTCCAAAAATAGTCCCCCACATATACAGTCAAATGACTTACAACAAAGGTGCTTAGAAAATTCATTAGAGAAAGAATATCTTTTAAACAAATGTTGTTGCAACAACTGGACATCCATATGCAAAAAAGAACTTCTCACACCGTATATAAAAATAACTCAAAATGGATCATAGGTCTAAATGTAAAACTCAAAACTATAGAACTTTTAGATGAAAACATAGGAGAAATTCTTTGTGACCCTGAGTAATGCAAAGATCTCTTAAACATACCAAAATACCAAAATAAGAACCATAAAAGAAAAATCTGATAAACTGGACCCTGTTGTTGTTGTTGTTGTTATGTGCCGTCAAGTCGGACCCAACTCATAGCGACCCCTCCTTGGGTTTCCGAGGCAGTATCACTACGGAAGTAGATTGCCCCATCTTCCTTCCGAGGAGTGGCTGATGGGTTTGAACCGCCAGCCATCTGGTTAGCAGTCAAGTGCCTTAGCCACTATGCTACCAGAGCTCCTAAACTGGACCTTATCAAACTTAAAAACTTCTGCTCTTCAAAACACAGTTAAGAAGATGAGAAGGTAAGTCATAGACTGACTTATCTGCAAAATACACTATTTACCTGCAAAAGGCAGAATTTGATTATTTCCAAAATATATATATGAAAAATAATTAATATCCAAAATACATAAAGAACTCTCAAACAACTCAATTTAAAAAATGGATAAACAATTTGAATATACTTCACCAAAAAGATATATATATAAGATACAAATAAACAATGAAAAGATGCTCAACATCATTATTCATTGTTGTTGTTGTTATGTGCCGTCGAGTCCGCCCCGACTCATAGCGACCCCTCCTTGGGTTTCCGAGGCAGTATCACTACAGAAGTAGGATTGCCCAACCTTCCTTATTAAAACTACCATGCACAATAAACCAAAACCAAACTCACTGCTGCTGACTCAATTCCGACTCATAGCGACCCCTCCTTGGGTTTCTGAGGCGATATCTCTACGGAAGTAAATTGGCCAGTCTTCCTTCTGAGGAGCGGCTGGTGGGTCTGAACCACCAGCCTTCTGGTTAGCAGTCAAATGCCTTAGGGACTATGCCACCAGAGCTCCTACCGTGCACAATATACCTGTTAAATTAGCTTTTTAAAAAATGACAATACCAAGTGCTGACCAAGTTGAAGAGCTACTGGAACTCTCATACATTGTTGGTGGGAGTACCAAATAATGCAGCCACTTTGGAAAACAGTTTAGCTGTTACTTATAGAGTTAAATATATACTTAACATACAATCTAAAGATCCCCGTCCTAGGTAATTACCCAAAAGAAGACATATGTCCACACAAAACTTGCATGAGAATGCTTATAGCAGCTTTATTCATAATCATCCCCACATCAATTTGAATAGATAAGCCAGTTAAGGTTCAACCACACAAAAGAATACTACTCAGCAATAAAATACTTGTAACAACATGAATCAATAATGAATCTCAAACACATTATGCTAAGTAAAAGAAGTCAGACATAAACAGCTACATACTGTATGATTCTATTTACATGGTATTCTAGAGAAGTCAAGACAATAAGGACAGAAAATATGATCAGTGGTTGTCAGAGACTGAGGGTGGGAGAGAGGAGATTAACTGTATCTGGACACCAGGGAAATTTTTTGGGAAAGGGAACTGTTCTATATTTTGATTGTGGTGGTGGTTACAGAACTGTATATATCTATCAAAATTCATAGAACTATTGCAGTGTAGTAAATTACTTACTATGGCTTTTCTACCCATAAGTCATTGTAAACTCAGTGGCGGAATGAGCAACTGAGGAGCTGATTGTAAATGTTATCCACCTGGGTTATTTCTGTTGGG